TGTGACCTAATTCCCAACTAGGTGATCAGATAAAAGAATCGAATGAAAAAAGTGATCGTTCAAATCAGAAAGGAAAAACTTCAGTGGACCAGGAACTCAGCTAGGCTTACAGAGAGGAGATGGCCTGCGGTGATCGCCAGCTGATACCACATCACCGGAGAACTAGATAATTTGCTTGCCTACCACGCGTTTGAAGCCTCAACAGTCAGCGGCAGCCCAAAGTATGCCACTCTTAAAGAGTTTTCGCTCAGTATACACATCAGTGTCATCACTGGAATTTGTTCAAACCGCTGTGCGATGTTGTTTACAAAGTTTGGTTCTCCTATTCGCAGAAGATAACATTACTCGTTTGATTCTCTGTTTCCTTCTGCCCTCAGATCTCTGCGTGGCGCGCCAGCAACAAAATAATGATTGGTTGACAGCCTGCTCCTGTATTAACGCGAACACCCGTTACAGACCATCGTAAGTCAAGCGATATGATTATCAAATCAGTCATCGGTATCTGCGCACATGGTTCCTTATATCAGGTATACTGATGCATGCTTCTGTGCTCGATGAAGATGGTCATAATGAACAGTCTGTTATTTGCACAGAACAGCAGCAACCTCATTCCGTTATTGTTCAGTACGCTAGGGCCGTTATTTCCAATCAAGCTTTTCCACTTTTCAGTGTCTTCTCCCATCTGCCCATGAAGGTCTCGGTAGTCGGCACTTCGCACACAGCATCTTCCACTCCCCTCAAGGAAGAACTGATATTCTCCCTCCAAAGGAGAAGTCAAATCTCTGGCCTGTTGTGACCTCAGCCGTAGTATTGTCACTTTCCCGCTGACGGGTTACCAAGCAATGATTCTATCAGCCAGGTTGGGTTTTACCAGAACACCAATACTAGCCTGAGCGCACGTAGTGACATCGACACCTGAGTGGAATAGCCTCTCATACAGTGGTTCGGGATTCCAGAACGTTGGCGTGTTGTTGACGAGAGTCAAACTATGTCGACTTGGTACTTTATGGCCTCATCAACTAACTCCTGCTCTTTTCTTCTGATTGAGGATATATTGCAGTTTGTCAACGAGCGGTGTCGTTCTCCTGGAACCTTTACTGACGCGCTATAATAGCCTTGCGTTGTCTGGCTTCTCCGTTCAGAAAGGGTAGCAGCTCCACTGCTCATTGACATCTTTGTCGTGTATGTATATCCCCATCTACCAGAATTTGATGATCAGGTTCTGATCACCGACTTTTCACAGCCTCATTCTTTCAACAGCCTGGCTGCTCTTGAAAACCCGGGCGACGACCTTGTTGACCATGTAATGTGTTATACTATGTTGACCATTTTACAATGTAATGCTCGATGACTGCAGTACCAAAAGGTGGAGGTAGCTAAGTTTTAAGCAGACCTCGAGACGCTCTCCAACCTCCTCCTTTCTCATCTGTTCTTAGGACCGACAAGGGCGGAGTTCTGTGGTCGTCGAAATGTCGCTGCTTTAACGGGGTCGCAAATGAAAGTCATTTTTTGACCGAGACACAATGCAGCACTGAAACGTACGTTAAAATAATAAATCCATAATTCATATGAAACTTAACGGCTACCATGTAACATACTTGAGTATATGATAACAGAAAACTTAATGATAAAGTCCTGGGAAAACATATAACGTTCGAATTCGACGAGGTTTACATGAAACAAATCGTAGTCATTCTATGAGGACAGCGTCTGCAGGAATAGCAAAATAATGTGTCAAAACATAATTACATGACTTATAGAGAAAATGACAAATAATACATAAAATTTTGTTTACCAGCAAGCAGCAAAGGGTCTTCTTTCTTTTCTTTTTGTAACAACAGCAGGTCCCAGCACCTAAGAACAAAATGCACTATGAATCTAAACCTGAAAGAAGCTCTTTTATATTTAAATGCCAATATTCAGTTAGCTTACCCTGCCGAATCAGTCGAGCATGTGATATTGTGATTGCAAGTAAGATAACAGTTTAACCCAGACTATTTTTTGCTACGATCCATTTCCTAAAACATTCTGTACGCGAATGAATTACGACAACGTCATCACAATAAAGAGATCTGCCCACGCTTAGCCAATACTTTCAATTCTTCCAAAACTTTTGATGGTCCCGACAACGATGACTACCACGGAAACGCTATGCACGCACTTTCAAGCTAAGACAATGAATCTCAACTCCCTTCAGCGCTTCCTTTTTTTAAGCCGCGCGACTACCGCGATCGCTTCGTAATTCGTGCTGCAGTGTCAGGGTCTATGCAAATTTTTGCAATGTACCTATCGATCATTTCACAGGATATCGTATAAGACAAATGCAGCGGACGCTTGCAAAACTGCAGAGAATAGAAGTATAACGTTATAAGTGATTCTGGAAAAAACGCTTTCAGATTAATTTTCCATAAATTTTATTCGCTAATATTAAAAAATGAAAAGCCAGCGAAAAAACTTTCAATTTTCGCCGATTTTTGCCATGAAACAGGAAAACGTGATTTAAATATACCGCATTTTCTCATGCGTTATCCATACAAAAAACTTAAAAAACGCCGTTGCGCGCTGTGCAATGAAAAACGAAAAAGTCCCTAAATTTTTTAAAGTTTACGGTATACGTGGTACTTTCAAACTGCGCATATTGTGAAAGTAAGCTGATTTGAAGTTACGTACATATTGCAATTTCAGTGAATATAAGGGATAATATAACAAAACAAGATAAAAACAAAACAAGAAATAATATAACAAAATAACATTTTTACATACGTATTATGATCAAGTCATTGAAACCCATAAAATCCTTCGTTGAATAAGTATATAATGAAAAGAACATTAATAAATATTTTGCGCATCACTCAGTTCGTTTTCTGAACTGCTAGTTGTTGATACTTTATGCCTTTTCCATCTGTAAGATAACCCATTTTAGAAGCGTTTTTTGAACTCTGGCAAAAGCATCTTCTGTACCTCAATGTGTGTTTTTT